CTGTTCCTAACCATGTTCCTAACACTTCCTTTAATTGGCTGATAAGAAATCTGAATAAATTGCTTTTGTTATAAATGTATTAATATTGTTATTGTATCCCACATTAGTTTATTGTAGTGTAATAGCTTATCGGAGGTATTCTATTGAATGGCAATAGATTGCTTCTATTATACGTGAGCTAAAAATACTTACACTGCTGAATAGTTTTGGAAAAATAGCCTGAATTCTATTTTCTTCAATCCTTTATTTGCCATCGTACTGCTCGTATTATCAGAATTAATAAAATTATAGAAGTGAGACAGCTGCATATTCTCACATGCTAACTTCATAACAAGATAAGTAAAAAGCCTGATCTACAAATCTTGTACAAAACTATGTACCTGAGATCTAAATTTGTTCAAGGAATTCTTGCGGCGCCTTTATTCCTAATTCTACAGATTTAAAATACAACAATTTTTACGTTACACCTTTTCCTTCTTGTCAACACTTCGCTATAGAATCAACTTTATTATACAATATGCAGGATTTTATACATTTCTAATATGTACTTGTAATTAGTATTATTAGCGCCAGTAAATTAAACAGTAAAATTGCATCTAAAGCCTTTAATTATAAATACAGCGAAAATTTAAAGATATCGATATTCTATGACTTAGGTAAGATAGTCAGAATAATAAGCATTCATTCATGAAATCATTCGTATCATAAGAGATAATTATTAATTAACTGTGAATTAGTCCCAACCACATATTAATTTTCAGCACCGAAATAAGCCGAAAATATCTTATTATAGAATTCGGAGTGTCGATATTATTGACTATTTCGTAACTTGAATAAAGCTATTTCCCTAAATAATACTAACCCCTGCATGCCGAAATGACACTTTTAATGCATGTTTATCGCTATCAGTAATGTTAACATGTACTACGCAGGCAATAAATGGTAGATACCCTGTCTCTGTTGGATATTCAATAGATGATGATAAATTAAACTAGGAATTTTAGTCCTACGTCACGATGAACCTTCTAGGGGATTATACGTCAAAATTTTACAACTGCAACTTAAGTCAATTTTCAGGAAACGTGATAAAAGTTTGTTAGTCTATGTTCACATATCTGAAGTAGTAACTTTCTTAAGAATTCACGAAGTTACTATGGCATGAAGTCATATTATGATTTTTAAGCTGAACCAAATTATGTCACTTCATTATAGATATCTTAATACTACTATAATTGTCACTTTAATCAATGAATGAGGTAGCAATCATGACTAAAGCATTATTTAAAACATATCCTAAATAATAATTAATGCATCTTTATATAAAGTTAGTGAACAATAACCAAAGTTTTCATTCTAAAAAGTTTAAAATTTGCTAATCTTGAAATTTGATTCAGCGATCTATATGGATATATACTGTATGTTATACATAGTTTTATTGATGATTATAATAAGGAAGAAATTTTCAATTACTTGTATGATAGTGTCACGGCACGAACTACCGTGAAGAAATAGCTATCCAAATTTGCTTAATATAATATAGTGATAATATATTACAACTAGTTACTTACAATAGGAATTACTTTAATATAAATGTGTTACAGTAAATTTAATGCTATGCTGTAATGTGCACTGGAATGATTCTGTGAATGGACATATTGAAGTCCGACTGTGAAAAATTAGTTAGTAGATGTTCTCCTAAGTATTTTTATAAGATGACTCGTGAATATTAGCTGCTGTAGAAGAGTATATAAGCCCGTCATATAGTTAAATAAAGTAGTTCTTAATTGTCTAGTTGAGTTTAACGTAGAATCAAAGCGGTCTAAATTCTTGTGAGGTAGTTAAGGGATACTGAATCCCGGAGACTATAGTAATTTAGAGATTTGTTTTATGTTATCCTTGTCACGAAGCTGGTTTGTAACAGATAGCCTCAACAAAACATCAATTACCGTACTCATAGTATATAGAACTTTATAACGAAATCAATTGCAGATACAACGAAAATTACCAATTAAAATATTAATGAAAACTGCATTGCAGCAATGTGTAATGAAATGAAAAGTGTAGAGATCAAGCTACAAAACTTTAACAAACTTTGATTCTACTTTCGTTGAACTCCGGCCGACTTAACGCTAATACTTTGACACCAAATAAAATTTGGTGAAATAACCGAACAATAATTTATTACAAAACAAAAATGGAGAGAAGTATAAACCGAACAACCTTACAAATACTTAGCTTTAAGTATTATTAAAATAAATGACAGACTTATAATAAACTGTCAGCGACCAAACAATCTTTCAAAAAGAAGAACGTTTTAACTTACGACAATTCGATCCCGAAGGCTTTTTAAATTCAACAAGTTCTTCAAATAAAATCTTCTTCTACTCTCTCTCTAAATTTTCTAATTGCACTATCATTTATAGACTTCTGTTACGGTTTAAGATATTATGTGATAATGTTATTGAAGAAGAAATAGACGGTTACGATTAGATAATCATAAATATTATGATCTGTTAATATTGTGAGGTTCAATCGTTAATGGACTTCCATTAACGAATGTGTAGAAGTAAGGTACTTAATATGCCAATGACGTGTAATAACCAAAATGGCGGTTGTCACACTTGTAGGGAATCTGTTAGATCTTAAATTGTTAATTGGCGCTATAATATTATTAGCGCATAATAATATCAATTATTACATATTTGTTCGATAGTAATTAATAGAATTACAAAGTTATAGAAAAGACTAAGTTATGTATAAGAATAATTAACAGGTGGAAAAGGTGTAGATTTGATACAAGTATATAAGAGGTTGTAATTTACCTCGCTAGGGAGGAGGAAAATACGGAGACCTAATAAAGTTAGTTTAGTAAATTTATCCAGACGCTTCTAGTCCGCCTTTACTGTTGACTGAGGTCCTTCGCTGAAGTGGAGCGAGTAGTGACGCCTGGTGGCAGTTTTACTGTAGGACAGAGGAGAGTAGGATAAGTGTGGAACGGGAATCCGATTGTTGCAAACTACGTTGTGACAACTTCGTAGAGCCGTCAGAGGTATTTAAAACTAAACATTTGCTAACTTATCGCTCTTAAGATCCGTTTTAGAAAACTACTATGCACCATTTAAGAAAACAAAAATCACTCAAAGTTCAGACACAACTTACCCTATATTTCCCTTACAAAACACTATAAAACCAACAAGTTAACTATGAAAATACATCAAACTTCACTTCTAACTTAATTTCTATCATTAATACACTATAAAAGTCTAAAAATCAACCTTTAAACATCAAGAAATTATCTCGCATTTAGTCATAAAAACAACAGTCTACTACTTAACAATCAACACAACCTCTGCCAATTTACATCTTATTTATTTTCTATTTTCCTCACTAAATCTAAATTCTCCTAATGTGACTTCAAGTCACGTCATAAAATTCCAAAGTTTCAAATTCACAACAAAAAGTCCAAATTTCAAAAATCAACTCCTACGATATTTTTCATGAACAAAAATCCAAAAACTTAAAACAGAAAAATTATATCAGACATAAATTAAAACAGGAAAATTATATCGGACATAAATCCGACTGGTTCTGGAATCCGAATCCGAAAAATCCGGATTTTATAAAGATTGCAGTAATCGCTATCTCGCTAATCAGAATCTAATCAAAATATTTTATATGACTATCACGACTACTTTTCTGACATTAGTATCGCTAAATATTCGCGAGTATTGACAGTTGATGTTTTAGCGTCAGATTGTACTGTAACTGTACGATTATAGACTACATTACAGTACTTTGTCGTCATGTTATAAATCCCCTTTCTGTAAGGATAGGGTTTTGCTAATAAGTCAAATTCCGTTACAAGTTGAATAGATGATCAAACGCCCTTTCTTTACATTAGGCAATTGCTCTAGGGCTACTTCTATAGTAATCTATATATAATACCTTGTAAAATAATGAAGAAGAAAAGATGGCGACATGATGATTTGGCAGGGTAAAACTTAAAGACACTATTATTTTCTAGGTATTTTCTATAGTAAAATAATATTAGTTACATACTAAAAGCTATAAAGGACTTTACTTTTAGTCCTTTACTACAAATGTTTGACGGATTCATGGAAATTTAATCGAGTTGGTCAATTTTAAGTTTGCAAAGTTGCAATGACTTAGGAATAACGTCACATGCTCGAATTGTGTATAGAAATTTGATTGATATTCAATTTCATTTTTCACTGTTGATATAGTAAAGAAGACTGAAATTTATTAAATAAAATGTACGATTTCTACTTTTATTTAATTTCCTATTTCGAAGTCATACCACTTTATTTGACGTTAAACCAATCGAAAGATATAAAATAGACAAATTTAATAATTACGACAATATCAGTAATGTTTGATACTATGGCAATTCTACCAGAGATAATAGCCAAACTATAATCAATATTTAATCAAAAGTGTTATCTATATTAATTTTTTCCAATAATAACAGACCTACGAATTAAACAAAGGAGATTGAATTTAATTTCAGCAGTAGAATTAATTCTGACTTATTATTAGAAATTACAATAAACATCAGCATATCGATTGTATTTGTGTATTATCCGTTTTTATTGCGACAAGCAACAATTAAAATATTTTCGCCACTTTGCTACTGAATACAAAAAAAATGGAAGATGAATAGAGCAAATTGAACTTATTTAATAGGTCATAGTCTTCACTTGAATATTTTCTGAATAGTTATTAAAAATTTGCTTACTTTCAGTAGCTGTTTTAGTATCTTTCCGTCTCTGGCGAAAGGACTTAATATTTAACGTAAAAAAGAACATTATGGACGTCTTGAAAGAAGTACATACAGAAATTTTTATCAATGTTCATACAACTGTCTTTCCTTCTAATTTTTGAATATCATGGCCAGTGGTCACGACTTGAATCTGTTATTGTTATCAAATGCAACAACAAATCTTTCTAAAGTAGAAATACCAAGTTCCGTGGAATTACCTATTTTATTTACTATCATGATTGTCGCAATAATTGCCAACAGTTTCAATTTATGGGTAATTTATCGTTCGCCGTCTTTGCAAACATGCAGTAATGTTTATTTAATCGCAATAGCTGTAACGGATTTTTTAACTGGCTTAATTGTACTGCCGTTCGTAATTGCAGTTGTTTTTACGAGTTATAACCAAATAATTTGTCAAATTCAAGGTTTTTTAATCAGTATCTTTAATGGTGCTTCATTCTCTCTTACTGTAGCCGTTAGTATAGAACGTTGCCATGCTGTTATAGATCCATTTAAATACATAAGACGAGCTACTCGCCGAAAATATGTCACTGTTATCACAATATGTTATTGTTATTCGCTTGCGTTAGGTGTATTTCCTCTTTTAGGTTTAGAAAAATACGGCTTTGGCCGTTATCGTTTAATATCGACATGTTGGTTATCATTTAAAGTAGATCGATCTAATCGCTTCATTAATCCGGTCTACGCTATCGGTATATCATGTTCTGTTGTAGTAATCGTAAGCTGCTACATTGTCTTATTTTTAATCGCCTATACTAAATCAAACTCTGAAGCGGCTAATCATCGAAGTTTGAAAACTTCACTACGAACAATCGTATTAATAGTTGGTACAAATGTTATTTGCTGGCTACCATTTACCATTTTAATGATGAGTGGAGTGGTTGCTTACTGGAAATATACAAGCAATCGAGAAGTAAGTACTGGTCAGGCTCAAATTATATTGATACTGTCGTATTTGAATGTCAGCATTAATCCAATCATATATCTTTCTACAAACTCTACTTTACGTAGAAATTTTCGTATGGCATTCTGTCGATGTTTTAATACAGCTAAAATTGTTCCAATCCAACGTATTCGAAATTCGCAACGGACTGATTTTAACTGCCGCATAGACAGTAATTTCCAGCGTAATGAAATATCGCTAACCACAATTCCTTACAGACCATCGCCACGCTTTATATCGAGTATTGCATAACAATAAAGACTTTAATTATTACTTACATGTCACTTATAAAGAATGTTATCCAGTTAAAAGAAAATAAATCTAAACAGATGTCATTCTAATCATGCATTTATCGCTTTATTTCTCGTAAGACTTATAAAATATAAAAATTTGAGCATGACATAGCCGTTAAATGTACATTGCTTTAGTTGTTGATATTACTCATTGCGAACTTATTCTTAACAGTTTAATAATAGAATTCCGTTAAATTGATAATGCATAGGCAAGAAATAAATGAAACTGTATTTCAATATCTATTTAACCTAACAATCAAGAGAGTTTGCTAAATTTTATATCAGTATTGCACTTGTAGCGGTAAGGCTATTGATATGTTGGTAAATTATCAATTGCTATCATGAATTAAAGTTAACAAAACTAATTATGAGTATTACATGAGTACCATAGTTTAAAATATGATCTGCATTTTGGTTTACATAAAAAGCAGTACAGGGTAAATGATACAAAGCACTATAAAATCTACGGCAAAGAATACAGTTTTTGGTATATTGCAGTATCCAATCGGCGAAATGTTTTGATATTGCTGTAACAGTTTATATTTATCTACAGAAGAAATATCGGTCTATAGAACTATGACACCTTAAGTTATTTTACTTATTTTAACCCCGAACTATCCTTTGCTGTTTTAAATGGTGTAAGAAATTATCTGAAATAAATTCATTTTCAGTTCAAATTATCATAATAATACATCTAAATGCATCTCTTTTCAAAGTGAAATTTCTAAATTTTTCATTTTTTTATTTTACTATCAATGCTTCCAAAATTTTATAAGCATCGTTTTTAAAGAGGTAACTACGCTGCTGTTGATTAAATATATTATAGCTACAGAAAATGCATATAAAATATCTGAACTATAACCGAGATATAAGCCATGTGTTCAGGGAGCATGCGAATAGGGTTCAAAATACTCGTAGCTTATATTTAATAAATTCAGTCCCTCGAAATCGAAAAATAAGGTATCAATGAAAGGGATAACTTATTCAACACATGCAGTTTTGTCTACTGTATGGACTAAACATTGAAAATAGCTATAATATTTTTCTTGTTAGCTTATAACATTAAAAATGTCTGTTCCTAGTCAATTCAAAACATATCTAATGTTTGCAGCGCACATATCATGGTACAAACCACCGCGAAGAGTAAATGACTAAATTTAGTGGTTAACATTTACTGTATATATGGAGATAACTAATAACTACTTATAGTAAGAATTAACGTGAGTAATCTATCATCTAAGACTCGAATCTAAGTTTGGTTGATTAAAGAGTGCTTAGAGTTAGTTGCTTAGATAGTTAAGTCTACTTTAGAGGAAAGAATCCCGTTTAATTCTTGTGTTACAATCTCGGTTGTGACAGCTGTACAATACTAAGAGTCCTTATACAGTAACTAATATTAATTGATGTTAGTGTTGTCTTGTAACGCTTGTGACGAATGTCCTACAGATATTCAATTCTAGATAATCCTATAAATAATTCTGTGTATGGACGTACCGTAAACTAATTATCTAGAATCGTTCAGTAAATATCTAAGATTATGAATAATTTCTATATTAATTTAGCTATGCAATATGAACTAAATTTCATAAACTGCCAAGACTCCTACATGATAGCTGCTGCCGAAGGATATTTAAGCTCGGCAGATGGTTGAATAAAAGAAGAGTTCTACAAATTTTTAACGTAGATACAAAGTCATCTAAATTCTTGTTAGATAGTAAAGGGATACTGAACCCATGAGACTATAGTAATTTAGAGATTTGTCTTACGTTATCTTTGTCACGAAGCTGTATTAAGCTAGCGCGATTTCGAATATTTATATCCAGTGAATGCAGTAAAGTAGCTACTAAGCTAGTAATGTTCGTAGACCGTACAATTTCAATATTAAACAAATTACTAACTTCCCTTTTTCGCTTTAACTACAGTATGAGCAGATGCTTATACTACTGTAGTTCTAATTGCGGTATTGCTCATTAGCAGTTAATTGTATAGTTATCCAGGTTTACAAGATGAGTATAACTCTTCTAGAAATTGTGATTTCTTATTTCAAGAAAGCAATCACAGGTAGTATGTCTATTATTTTGCACTAGCCGTACAAGTCAAAAAATATAAGAGGATATCTAATAACATAGAGGATCATTAACATAGTGATGCTATAATAATTGACTTCGCAATACGAATTTGTCATATATAAACTTATTCTGGCAATCAGAGAAAGCTATCAGCTATTATTGTAGCAGGCGTAACAGCCATTTGCTTTCATAATCATCTTCTTTCTATTTACTTCTAGTAGAAGTTATCTTATACCTCATTTCTTGAGATATTTGGTCGCTAACTTTTGTATAATGCGGTAAATCATACGGTAATAAAATGAGTTGAAATTGCATTGACTTATTAGAGACGTACTATGAGTAGTATTTTACTATAAGCTACAGTATCTTCCAGCAGTTACTCATTTTTACTGCAGCAGCTTGTTAGTGGTTAAAATTAGCTGTAGAATGGTAACAAAATGTAAGAAACAATGGTACTGTCTATTAGATCAGTACCATCTCAATGCCATTCTGTCGGTTTAATGCGATATAACTAAAGATTCAAATAGGTTTTTGATGTTATTGCAACTACAGTATCAATTACAGTTATAATTTTAGGGAATATTTCAAATCCAGGCACAACACATCTAAAATGTTTCATTCACAGCTTCCTAAAATTAGATCTAGGGCTGGGAATTATGGTACTGATATAAATTAATTCTTACTTCTGTAATATTTTTGAAACATATTTTTGTGAATTATCCATTACTCGCTTTTGATCTGAAATTAGTAACTTTACATAGGATTTGGTGCTAGCAATGATGATTAATGTAAGCTCTGATAAATTTACTATTAGGACTAGCAATTTCAAGTTTAGGTAAGGATTAAATTTTATCACAGATACCAATTATTACGTTACAGCAAAATTCTAAAATAAACATTTATTAAGATTCATTAAAGATTTAACTTGTATTTTATAGGACTTTACTATTTAAAAAGCATAAAAAGCAGTCGGTGAGTCGACAAAGTGCCTACTGTATGTCTTAATTAGTACCTTACCTAATGCTTCCTTCGCAATATTTTACTTGTAGCACAGCTAAATGCAATATTAAAGTGATGTAACAAGCTATTAACGTGAATCTCTAAATATCCTGAAACAAATTTTTTTATCTATAACAAATTGTACCTTCTCATTCCATTAATTTTATTATATATAACTTCGTATGTGACACGATTAACTCTTTTTAATTTAACTGTATGGTAAGCTTCTTTCGGATTGTGTAGCTGCAATTAAGCGTCACTAGTTTCTATAATTCAATACAAGACATTAATCAACAGTAAACACAATCAGAAAGTTAATATATTCAGAAAGCTTTGGATTTTATATGAAGAAATTATTTTTATTCAAATACTATCATGCTATACTAAGCAGTTAAATCTATTCTTCTCTTTCAATCATAAAGCTACCCGCTTATATGCCTATGCTATGTTGTACCTGTGCAACTCCATAATTTTCAGTAGAATATGTACTCTAAAATAATTGATAGAAATCCAATACATATTAGTTAATATTGGATATTTATCACTCTTACTGCAATTAACAACTTAGCATGAATTAATATCTAACATTCCACGTTAGCAAGCGGGACAATCTCTATCTCTTATTATTACACTTTTATGCATACTAAATGAATTAAGTCTTCGCAGTCGTGAAAGGAAATCCATTAGCAATTAAAGATATTAATTTTGCATCGGACAAAAACACGAATCAACCAGTGCGGTAATATTTTATTTGCTTTAAATATGAAACGGTAACGATATTTAATGAAGAATTTTGTACTATTCCATCTTAATCATACGCATATATGTTGAATGAATTAAGAGTACGCTTTGGAAATATTTCATTGAATTAAGCTCACAGATATGCTTTTTACTCTCTTGTTACAACCCGAACTTGCAGCGAAGATTTGCAAAAAACTTAAGTGAAGCCACAGCACCTCGGGCAATTTTCCTCAGGATTTTTAATCTCTGCGCGATTGATGTTATGACTTAGCCTAAATCTTACGGAAACGTGTTCAGCTTTAGTTGAGTTTGCAACAAGTAATGTTTTTTCTTATCTGAAGGTGGACGAATTGAGAAATAAATATAATTCTTCCTTCTNTTCTTCGAAAGAAAAAGTGCACCTCTATAATCTATATATACTCTACTGTTGGTCTGAACACTTGCACCTTATCTAACATTAGAAGAACATTCTTTAGATACTTTTTTACAGTATAACACAGTTGACTAATAAACATATTTGTACGGTGTTACGGCAATTTAACAAGACCGATACAGCGATACGAGATAGCTGTAACAAGATATACATAGTTTAGGATGTTAATCCTCAAGAACAACATTATCTAGCGATGCTAATCTAGCAGTCACGACAATTGACTGTTATAATTCTTCTATTTATTAACTTAATTGGTACCCGATCGGGGCTACACACATTAATCAGGCAGAATACAACACTGACGATTTTCCTATACTTTAATTTTGTCGTCACTGCTATTTTTGCTATTTCACAACATTTGTCGCCACGTTTATATCATTAAAATATCCAATTATATAATACGGTCATAATAATAACGCCAAGTTAAAGAGCAGTCATCCTTACGTACAGCATACTGTACGACGATATATAATATTAATCTTCCATTTACTACCATATGAGTGTAGTAAAGGACTAAAAGTCGAGTAGTTTATAGCTTAGTATGCAACTAGTATT